ACAACCCTGCAAACTGGACAGCTCCTGCATGCGAGTCTTAAAAGGTGCGAATTTGTTATCGACGTTGCCTCCCGGCCACCCCCTCCTCACCCAGTCGAGCACCTGGGCGAGCGTTTGGTCTGCCTTGGTTTTAGCGGCGATGTCAAGGGTGGTGATGGGCAGGTCCAACTGGGTGATTTCAAAAATGGCGTTGACAGGAGCTGGGTCTTCAGCCGGAGCGGGTAAGGGGCAGCGACTGAGAGCGTCGGCGTGGGATAGAGTTTTGCCCGGGCGGTGAATAAGTTTGTATGAATAGGCCGCTAGGAAAAGTGTCCACCTTGTCATTCTAGGGGAAAGGACTTGAGGTGTCTGTTTGTCGCCGGCCAGTAGGCCCAGGAGGGGCTTATGGTCGGTGACCAGTTCGAAGAAATGGCCAAAAAGGAATTCGTGAAACTTTTTCACGGCTGCAACAGCTGCTAGGGCTTCCTTGTCTATTTGGCTGTAATTTCGCTCCGTGGCCGAGAGCGTCCTGGAGAAAAAGGCGATGGGGGCCTTGGCGCCATTGGGGAGTCTGTGACTAAGGACCGCCCCAATTCCAAAAGGGGATGCGTCTGCTGCCAGTACTAAAGGAAGGTTGGGGTCGAATTGGATGAGCACTGCCTCTGACGTAAGTAGTGATTTGACGGCGTTAAACGCCTGGTCTTCTTTGTGCCCCCAGTGCCACGGTGACTTCTTGTCTAGTAATCTGTGTAGGGGTTCGGCTACTGAGGCTTTATGGGGCAAGAAGGATGCATAAAAGTTTAGGAGCCCCAAGAAAGCTTGTAGCTCCGTTTTGGAGGTCGGTGTGGGAGCTTCGTGGATCGCCCTGACCTTGGACTCCAGGGGGTGAATGCCAGAGGCGTCAATTTTATAACCCAGAAAGTCCACCTGTCTAGTGGCAATGGCGCATTTTTCTTTTTTTAACTTGAGGCCATGCTGTCTGAACCTCTCTAACACTGCTCGCACTCTCTGGAAGAGTTGGGGTCTGTCCCTGGCCGAGACCAAGATGTCGTCGAAGTAGGGTACTACACCAGGGAGGCCCTGTAAAATCCGCTCCATGAGGGACTGAAAAATACCCGGGGCAACACTTACGCCAAATTGGAGACGCTTGCATCGGAAGGCACCCCTGTGAGTGACGATGGTCTGAAGTTCCGCTGTTTGGTTATCAACAGGGAACTGTTGATATGCTTGAGACATGTCCAATTTAGCAAAAATACTGCCCGGTTCGAATGTGTGCAATAAGTGCTGAATGACGGGCACAGGGTAGGCGCTAACTTGTAAATATTTATTGATTGTTGTCTTGTAGTCCGAGCAAATTCTCAGGCTACCATCTTTTTTGAGGGGTGTGACAATGGGCGTCTCCCAGTTGGCGAAATCTGTTGGCTCAATGACCCCTTGTTTTAGTAGTTTATCCAATTCAGCGTCTAGTTTTGGTCGAATAGCAAATGGAACTCTACGTGGTTTTAATCTGATTGGGACTGCCTGGGGGTCAACGGTGAACGAGATGGGGGTTCCATTATAACACCCCAGCTCTTCGCTGAACACATCTGCGTAGTCAGCGAATAAGGAGTCAGTGTCTGAGGTTGAGACAGCATGGACTCCTGTTAACCCTAGGCCGAGGTGGGGAAACCAATCGAGCCCCAATAAGGTGGGTAGATTGCCGTTAACTACCACTAGAGGTAGGTGGCCTTTAAAAGCTCTAAAACTGACAAAGAACTTGCCTCTGCCGATCACGGGAATGGCCTTCCCCTGGTAGTCCTTCAGACCGAACTGGCATCTCTGAAGCCGGGTAGTAGATAGGCTGGGGTGGAGTCTCTTGAGGGTGTTCCACGAGATTATTGAGAGCGCTGACCCTGTGTCAACCTCCATGTGGCACGGTTTACCTTCTAGGGAAACGGAGAGAGAAATTTTACTAACAGTGTGGCAAGTACGCCTGGCGAGGCGGTGCGTGCGACAGTTTAATACTTGCCTCTGTGGTCCCGAGTGCGAGGACGGGGGTCTGTGTGCAGCGCTTTGGGGGGCTTGGCAGACTCTCGCAATGTGCCCCCTCTTATGGCAGTTGTTGCAAACGGCTCCTTTAAACTTGCAGGTGGCCCTTTGATGTGATCCCCCACAGGCTAGGCACAGAGTGATGTGCTTGGGTGGACCGGTGTATTCTTGTTTGGCCCCTACCTGCGACCGTCTGTCATTGGTGAGGCGATGGACATCGTTCTCATCGTTGTGGGCTTCCTCCGCTTCCACCTCTTCGGAATGGACTGGGAACGATGCTAGCTTGGCGCTTGGGCCCTGAATTTCGGTGGCTGAGTTCGTTGCTAGCTCGGCTGCTAGGGCCTCCTCTACCGCTTGCGCGAGGTTGAGGTCTTTTTTAGCTAGCAGTCGCCTCTGTAGGTTGAGATCCTTGACCCCACAAACTAATTGATCGAGGAGCATGTCCTCCAGGTATGTTCCAAACCCGCAGTGAAGGGCTGCTGTTCTGAGGGCGGCCATATATTGGTTGATGGTCTCCTTACTTGATTGCTTCCTCATTCGGAACGTGAACCTCCTGGCGATTTGTGAAGGCCTGGGAGCGTAGTGGTTTGTGAGGATCTCAAGCAACTCGGACCACGGAACGTTTTTTAATTCTCTCGGCGCCACGAGTGCTGCAGCGGTATCGTAAACGGTGGCTCCGCAGTAGATTAGGAAATAGGATTTTTTCCGATGCTCTCCCGCATCCGCCAGGCCGACCGCATCGATGTAATGATTGAAGCGGTTCTTATACGATTCCCACTTCTCTTTGTCTGGTTTAAACGCCGGGAATACTGGGTTGGAACTCATGGTGCTGGAACGGCTGGGCTACCTGCGGAAAAAATCTCTCTGGGACTACGAGCGCTCGTGAGTTACTAGTGATATCAGCTCTGGAGAGGTTTTTTGCTACCCTCTCTTTCTCTCTCTCTGGGTTAACACGTTGGCTGCTAGCCGTTGGAGGTGTCTTGATTCGCGCCAAAAAAAGTGGGCGTTAGTGACTCTCTACAGCGCTGTGCTGTGATTCCTACTGGCTCGAAATTCAAATGACACCCGTTTGAATTTCGCGCCAAATGCAGAGCGGCTGCGGCTCGCAGCGCTTCACTTTCCCCGTAGCGGGGCTAACAAGCGGCTACAGACGCTTCTAACTATTTGACTCAGACCGCTTTCTCTGGCTGCGGATCTGCGTTTGCTCTTTTTGATCGCTCGTTTCGTTAGCTGACCGCTCTCTCTGGCTGCGGATCAGCGTTTCCCTTGTCGCCAGCCGATCGCTCTCTCTGGGCTGTGGATCGGTGGCTAGTGACTCAGCGGTTGCAAGGTGCTTCTGGTAGCCATCCCATCCTCGTCGCCAGTGTTTTGTTTGAGCAATGAGAGGCTGAACCAGAGCATGAGTGCAACAATACTTTATTTTACAATAAAGGGCTGACCGTGCTTGCCAAGCCTGGAACTGGCTCGCAGCAATCAGCAACCGGTTGGACCCCGCAGCCTGCTTTTATAGCTGGCTGCTGGGGAGAGCCAACCAATGGGAATGGGGGAATAACGCCCACGTAAAGTGAGTGGACCTGAGTGAGAACTCCTTGAGTCCTCAGGACATAACAGTTGCTCCCTAACCTGACAGCCTCCAGGCCCTGCAAAAGAAGGTTCACATCATCACTCTTTAAAAAGGAGTGATGAAAGTACCAAGTTCTGCAGCAAACCAACAATGTGGCCATAAGCTGAACCTCTCATTTTTTTATCCAGGCCGATTAGAACCAACCTTGGAGGAAGAAGGTGAACCAGAACAAAACTGTACTCCCATTTCCCAACTCTCTAAGTCAGTGGTCACTAACTGCTGGGCCATGTCCCACTGGTGGGCCGTGAGAAAATTTTGATGGGCCGCAGAGAAATCTCACCCCCAGAGCACCCTCCCAAAGCAATTAATCCAGGCTGCGCAGAAACACAAGGCTGCGCTGCCCACATGGCCCGCAGGAACCCTCCCCGCCCACTCACTCCTTACCCGGCAAACTTGTCTGCTAAGTTGCTATTTTTCCTTTTTCCGACCATCATCTGTTCTGCTGTGCCAAGAGATTTATATTAGCTAGGAAGCAGGAAATGGTTGGATTTCTTGCTTTCCAGCTAGTCTTTAGATCTTTGGCTCTACTTGAACTTTAGGACTGAAGATTTGCTTGCAAGCAAATTCAGTGCAGACTCACTGCAAGCAAATCTGAAAGACTGAGCTAACCGATGGCAGATAGATAGATCACTAAATGATTCTGTGAGCAACTCAGTCTGCCTGCTTTGCCTGATTTTGGATAGAAGTTGTTTTTTATAT